TCCATGTTGGGTTCAGAGTATTAATTATCAAAAGAGGAAGTGAAATATATACACCAGGATGAATAGGACAAGCCCTCATTTGTCTCAACACAGTATAAACTCACTAGTTCAGCATTACATACTCACCATGGCTCCCTTTTTCCTCATGTTTTACTTAAGATGTGCAACAATAATTTTTACTGCCACTTTTTCCTGAGATTACTTCCTCTAGGTAAGACCTCTTCTTGTATATCCTAGACCCTTTCTTGCTATAGATTCTGCCTTTACTCTTCATTAGTTTGAACTTATGAAAGAGATCATCAAACAGACAGATGCTTCCGTAAAATAGCGATCTGTTGCTAGGCTGAGCCCTAGCCCCCATTATCTTTCTTTTGCTAGTTCAGCTTCAGCCCCAAGTTATTATTCAACCAAATGCTGCCTGACGTGCATGTCATACCATTCAGACTACAGTTCAGGGTGTTTTATAAATAATGAAAAAACCCTGGCTTCAATGCTGAACTCAAAAGGAAAAACTCCCATTGACTGTAGTGTCAGAGTTCCACCCAGTATTGGTTATTGTTTGTGGCTGTGATTTTCAAAAGACACTTTCAAGGTATCCATCCACCTCCTATGGATTTTCAATAGAATTAAGGGACCTAACTCTTTTTGCTCCCTTTGCAAATCTTGGCCCAGTATTACTGTAGTATGTAGAGGCCCCAAACTGATTCAGGACTCTGGTGTACTTTGGTGTGCAGTATGGACATACCACATCAGTGAGATAAGTCTATTCTGAAACCAGCAGGAGCAATTTTCTGAGCAGTTTTCCCTGGGGAGCATCCTGAACCCTTACTCGTTATTAGTTTATAATCTGATCAGATAAGAGTAGGATTAATGTGAATGATGGGACCTGGTTTCAGCAAGGCCTGGATATGAAAAGAGAGGGGTAGTTAGCCATGTTAGTCTCAAGTCAGGCAGAAATCAGGGTGGATTTGCACCTTATAAACTACATAAATTAGAGATCTATAGCATAAGCTTTCATAAGCAGTGGACTTACTTCATCAGATGATGTGAAGCAACAGCTTCACTTGAGTTACTAGTTCCTCAGTGTCACCATACTCTCCTCAGTGTGGTACTTTCGCTTCTCGGGGGAATGCTTCCCTGTGCAGCTATGAATTGAACAACTCTGTGATTCTTTCCCAGTGAACTGAAAGAGAAGGCAAATGACACTTTGGGTACATGGGAAAAATTGTGTGAAGATCCTGGAGGATTGATAGACAAGAGGGGACAGAGGCAACACCCAACCATGAAAAATCTTGAGTTAACTGCAGCGAAGACACTGGTATAAACTCAGCAGCAGATGGTACCAGTGAATGGGATTGGGATAGAGAAGGAATTATGCTTAAGTAGGAAAATTGCAGATAATTTAGTGACATGGGAAGATTTTTAGAAATTGCTTGCAATTTTGGTGCCACAATTGGGCTTCCAGAAACTGGTACCAAAAATCATTAGTCACTTTTGAAATCTTACCTCTAGACTTTTTGTTACTGATTTAGTTTCAGCCTAACACAGGTTGTGTTTACCCTTATTTTCACTTGCCTTTTAGCAGCAATTTGTGCAGAAAGCAAAATGCTTTCTTTACAGAAGCATTTTGCTGTGATTTTAGCTGTGATCTCATTTCTTAAGCACTAACAGCAAAAATCTGTGCCCTTTGTGCCCTAAAAGGCACTTACCCAGCTGCATGGAACAGTGATTCTATTATCCCTGCAGTAAGCATATACACGTATACTGCACACACTCAGGTGGCTATGTACTAGCCAGGCAGCTACATAGCTACACACAGGCATATGCTGGCTAAATTCCCAGAAGGATGGAGGAGGAGGAGGAAGGCCCTCCTGTATGTTAGCTCCAGTTAGGTGAGTGGGTAGGCCATGCATCCAGGAAACAGGTGACTTGAGTTTTTCATGGGGCGTGGAGCCCCTGTCCAGCCAGTACACAGTCTACTCTGTATGCTAAGTATACACATGTACGCTTACACATTCATGCAATAAGGGTAACAAAGAGCAATGGAATGGTAAACTGCATATAAGTGCCAAAAAGGACATTTATGCAGGTGAAAAATGGCCATTTAGACCATTTAGTACCAAGGGTAAGAGACTGCCATGCTAACTATATGATATGGGCCATCACACTCAGTATTTCACACTTGCCAAGTTACTAGGTGGGCAGAGAGGCAGCTAAATCCCTATTCAAGTCCAAATAGCATGCCTCTTTCCATCTCTATGGTCCTTTCTATTTATTTGACAGCCTCTCTGCCTGCTGGAACTCAGCAGCACCACTAAAACAGGGTCCTCTGTTAATTGTTACTTCATGTCTCCAAGAATAAAGGACTCTCTGCAGCTCTCTTAATAAGTGGATTGTACTGTGCTGCGTACTCTGCATCAAGTCCTTGAAAACACTTATTACCAGGTCTAGTGCATATTATTCGAAGTACTGTTCCCATTGTCTTGAAGGAACTACTAACAATAGTAAGCACTAGTCTGGGTAAAAAGTGTTAGGAGGATTAGACTTTATATCATTAAGGTTATTTTAATACCATCTGATATAGTATTGGCTCAAATGCCATTTATTTAATATAGGCCTTCCAATTACCCTACTCTAACAAATGGAAATCTACAGTGGCAGTTTTTTAAACTATCAAGTAGTTGTTAATAATATTTATTATCGTCCTTGAATACAGTGAAAATTTTACAATAGGTACCTTTTGCTGTAAGTGCAAAAACTTCTGTTTAAACTCCAAATGAATCTGCTACTCCCTCATTAAATCCAGTGATCTTGCCATAGCCCAAAGTTTGTATGGATCATTTGCATTTTCCTTTTGCACTTTAGGAATAAACAGTATAGGTGAGATGGTTGGTAGGCTTTTTGTTTCCTTGTTTCTCTAACAATGAACGTTCGCTTTTTGGCTAGGGACAGACATTCAAAAAGCCTGAGTCTGAATTAATTGAATCTTTGCAGGTTAGTCTAACACGGCTAGGCTAAATCACTTTGTAACTGCACAGACATCCCAGACTGAAGGCACATGCCTACAGTGGCTCAGGCTAAAAGTCAGGGGACACTAGAGCAGCCCTCCCTTCCTTCCACAGTACTGAGCACTGAGCTGAGTGAGGGCATGGCCAGGCCCCGGCAGGATGCTCTGATTAGCCTAGCAGGGAATTGATAACAGTGTTTATCAATCAAAAAGCCTGAGTCTGAATTAATTTAATCTTTGCAGGTTAGTCTAACCTGGCTAGGCTAAATCACTTTGTAACTGCACAGACATCCCAGACTGAAGGCACATGCCTACAGTGGCTCAGGCTAAAAGTCAGGGGACACTAGAGCAGCCCTCCCTTCCTTCCACAACACTGAGCTGAGAGAGGGCATGGCCAGGCCCCGGCAGGATGCTCTGATTAGCCTAGCAGGGAATTGATAACAGTGTTTATCACTCCTAACTTGGTGTTTATCACCCCATTAAGAAAACAACACCTCTCTGCAAGGCAGAGGGGAGGGGGTAATTCCTGCTTAGGAGCACCACTGCCCTCGCCCCCCCATCCCCCCGGGAGCAGGCACAGAGATGCACTCCTCCCTCGCATTCTTGATCTTCCCCCACAACCCCTTCCTTTTCCCCCCACACACACCTACCTGCTGGGGTGGGGGGTGTAGGTGTGTCTGTGTCTGTGTTTGTGTTTGTGTGTGCCTGTGCCTGTACCTGTACCTGTGTGTGTAGGGCTGGGGGGCTGTTGTGGGCAACACACATGTGGTGTCACACTGGTTCGTGTAAGCTCGTCTGTGTAAGTGGCACGAGTGGGACTGCAGAGGCTATGGGGGGGAGTGAGGGGCACTAGCAGGGCTGAGGGGAACCGTGGGGGGCCTTTAATTTTTATCACGGATTTTGGGGTTTTTATCAGAGAATTTGGCCGGGGGGGGGTATTATCAGGGAAAACCAGGATCCCTGCTCATAAGTAACCAAATGTTTTAAAAGGAGAAACCAGAAATAAAGGATCACCTTCTGCTAAGTATAAATTCCAAATTATTCATAAATGAACATTAAGCAGTGTCCTAATGGTCTCTTTTATAGTAGAAGAAGCTGTACATAGCTGGACTGGAACTTTTGTTATCCATTTCATATAAAGGTCAGGACTCTAGAGAGCAATTAAGAACCAGCTTTCTAATAATTTTGAAATTTAGCTAGTGCTTTCTGTTTCGACTTCCATCTTTCTCCACAAAAGTAACTGCTTCCATTTATAAAAATAAGAGAATTGTACCATTAACTTCAGTAAGAGCAAAGGCAGGTTTGTAATTCTGCAGATGTTTAAATTACAATTTAAGGCTTTACTGAAAGATTTCTGGGGGATATTATTTTACTAACAGCTATTTGATATCTTTTTGTTGGTCATATTTCTTGTGGAAGAAAAGGAAAAAAGAGGAATTCCAAGAAAAACACTATTCCAGTATCTAGTTTTACATTATTCACAATTATATTTCCCACATTAGAGAGAGACTGGACTCTGAAAAAAACATAAACAAGGGAAGAAATCCTATGCTCTGATTCTTTCCCTTAAGATTGTTGGGTTTGAGTTTTGTTATAAAAACCTGGCATAGTTTTTATCTGCAATATTTTGCTTTCATTTGTACAATCACATTTCCCAGAAAAACAACTTAATCCTGATTTGATTAAACCAGTGTGACACCACATTTAATCTCACCTGCTTTTACTGCATCCCTTGCATTTTGCACACAGATGGTATTTAGCACAACTGAATGCCAGAAATAATGAGTTTAAGTGTTTTGTTTATCAGGAGCAGAATTTGTACCTTTAAATGTAATTAATCTTCCAAAGGAAGGTCATATGGTCAAGACAGGATCAATACATGTTTGCTATTGTCAGTTCTTGTACAGTCTGCACTTTGTTCAGGGCTACATTAGGTTCGTTTGACATCTTTATTAAAAAAATGTAATCAGAATCCATTTTATTTTATTTTCAGGGTCCTAACTCAGTCATGATTGCCCTGGTAATGCTGTTGAATATTGGTTTAGCCATTCTTTTTGTCCATTTTCTAACTTGATTGGAATTAGGAAAGGTAAGAAAATTTTTGTTTTCATTTAAGATCACTGTAATCCACCTCAATTTAAAGCAGCCCGTTCAAATTGTAAAGATTTATTTGCAAACTTTTAATATTCCCCACTTTAATTTTAGCTATGCCTGAATGTGATTCAACATAGTTATTTAACGATGTAACTGTTTTGACCCTTCAGTGAAGTCATGACAACTAGTGGTGTTAGCCCACAATTCTCTGCAGTTGTGTCATCAGCCTTTTAAATGGCACCAGTCATACTCAGACACAGGGAAGGAGGCTTGCAATTAGGATGAGACGCAAGAGAGATGAAACTTGGAAAATTCAGCCAGGGGCCCGATCAGTCTCGCTGCTGATGATCTGTGGCTCTGGGGTCCTCTGAAAGTTGAAGCAAGCAGCCGTGTTGGAAAACAAACACAAAAAATCCGCTGAAGCAGCCCAGCCGGTGAAGCACGTTGGCTACTCTATCTGTTCCAGCAGTGTGACTAAACTGGAAATGTACGGCGCTGCACTTTTTGTTGATGGAAGCTAACAGCTGCCTTACTATTTTACCGTCTGATGTTTTTAGTGGGGAGATGGGAAAACGACTGCCAGAGGAATGTGGTCAGAGGATTCTGTTGCTGTGGAAGTGATTCCAGCGTTCACTCCTATCTCATTAGAAGAAATAGTTAGCAGCATCACTCACCAGTCTTATTCCATTACCTGCTGCTTTTAACATCTCCTGCAATGTTCTGGGAGATTGAATTTCATTTGCTTGTGCATGATTCTGTTCATTCGTTGTTTATTAAACCTGATGTATAGCCATGGCATAGTACACAGTCCAGCCTGGAAACATTTACTAGTTGCACCTAGCAGCAGAAGCAGAAGATAGAGTTATAGTAAACATATATTTTTTTATTTGAAGGTATAATTCTTGAAACTCATTTTCCTAAGCCTATAAAGTCTTTTTACTTTAAGTTTTCGTAGGTAATATATGGTAACGATAAAATTTTAAGATGCTGTTTATATCTTCCTAAACATGCTCAAATGCTTGTGTCAATAGCAAGCAAAATTATTTAAGAGACAAGGGGAGAATCTTCAGGCAGTTATCAGTACATTAAAAAAGGAAGGTAGAATATCAAAGATACAAGTTTTGCATGGTGTTTTTTCTGACTCCGGTGTTGTGGTAATTGGTGATTTGAATGATTATGTTTCAACACTGAGATACTTTGCCAGCAGTTAGTCTCATCTGAGTGCACATTAATGCCAATGAAAGTTAAGCTAGTTAATATGCGTAAAGTATCAGAATTTTAAACTACTAGTTGTGTGTTGAATACATTCAGGTAGAGCATTTAGATCTATTAAAATGATTGTTATCAATCTGATGCCTTCAGTGTCTTTAAAGTCCATCCATAATTTTACCTCAGAAAAAAAGAAAGTAAAGCCTCAGTAATTCATTTGGAACGTTTGTCTTAAGTAGTTTTACAGTCCTTTGTTACAATGATATGATCATGTTTCTTTTATGTGCCATTACACTGTAATTATTGTACCCTATATGACTCAAAAAGCATGCTTATTTACTTAAAGAAATTGTATGTGGTGTGGTCGTTTGAAAGTAAATATTTTAATTTAAAACATAAAAAGCAAAGGGCTTGGATGGAATATGGTTTATTTTATCTCTGTTAGAAAAGATTTCATATTTTATAGTTTTTGAATCTGTTTGTAAACTTTATAATTGTTTGCATGGTTTAACTGAGAAGTTACTTAATGACTACATTAGCTATCTTTTGATGCAGCACAAAGTAATGTAGGCGTGGACTGAATATTGTGTAGCCTTGAAACAGCTTAAAGCAGGGCAGTAACACAGTGGTGTTTTTTGCAGAAGTATGTTGAGAATCCTGTGTTTTGACCAGTGTGGAATAAAGAAGAAAGCAGAAAGAGAGCAAATGAAAATAATTTGTATATTTATTTTTTAAAGGGTAAAAGAAAATTATGCTTTACTTTAAATTTAGGAAAGTGATTTTTAAAATTAGAACAAATTTTTTAAAGTAACTGCATAAGCTTTGATTCATGGATAAGTGTTCCTTCCACCCCGGCCCACCCCACATCTCCCAAAGGAGCTAATTTTCTAACTGACATATTTAATTCTTATTAAATATTTATTTAAAATACCCATTCTCTCCAGAGCATAAAGTAACACAACTCATGAAAATGTTTATAAATTTAAGTAAGCACGTAGTACCATTTATAAATATGTACAATTTATAAGCTTTTTTAAAAAACAAAGCTCAAAACAAATTGTTGGTATTTTTCTAAAATGTGCACAGCTGTATTTTACATGAAAGGCTATTTATAATTGATTGTTATACTGTACACTACATTTTGGACAACACATGAAGCCTGCCAATGTACTTAATTATGTCACTTTGTCTCTTTAAAGTTTCTTGCTGTGAAAGAATTAACTCTTTATCTATGAGTTTCTCTATTTATAATTCTTGAACCCAAAATGTATAATGTACAGTTTTCACAACTGTATTTGCTCTAATAAAAACATGGTTATTAACATAGTTGCAGATAAGTTTGTTATGTTTATGCAAACAGTGTAATACAGTGTTTTTCCTGAAAAATACCTCTTTCAAACTTAATCGTGGCTCCTTTGAAGCTGAAGTCAATGGCATTGTCTGCAAGTGAGTCAGGATTTACCAAGCAATATATAATTTATAAGCAGAAGAAGTTTAAAATACGTTGAAAGCTGTATTATGCAACCGTTCTCCTCTTTTGCCCACCTTCCTGGATAGGATTTTTATGTCACTTCAGATACATGAATAATGCTCATTAAGTGAATTGTTAATAAACCTTAAAAATCAGAGAGTGAATAGTCTCCCCATAGCTCTTGCTAGAAAGAAATCTGCAAAGATTTTTAAATCTCCCTCATTCTCAGGATCTGCATGGGTCCAGAACTAACAGGTAGATGCCATGTCCTTTAAACCAAAGTTCTATGCCAAGAACACGCGTGGATCCAGAACTCTAGCAAAGCTGGCTGAGATACATAGCAAGTACATCTGTACAGAGTTTTATTTTCTTTCCCTCTTCCATTCCAGCTACTTGCTAACCAGTACTGAAGCATTCCCGTGTAAGCAGCCAGTAACCGCATGCCCCGCAGATCGCACCAGCAAGTACCACACACCACAGGGGCTATACCAGGGAAAGCCACAGACCTACAGGCTGCAGGCCACAGAGACACCTTTCCCCTTCACTATGCATCCCCACTGCACTATGCATCCATGTGGGCACTGTCCCCACTGCTGTACAGGGTGCCCCCCCTCACTGCATGTCACCCCCCCACCACCTCTGCAGTAGTGATCCCCCCATGCTGCACAACACAGCCACATGGCTCCAGAGTCCTCCTCCTCCATCCCTGGGACAGAGACAAGAGCTGGAAGTAGCAGTTGGAGGAAGGAGGGGAGACTTGGAGACTCCTGCTGCTGTTGCAGCCAGAGCAATTGTGTGGGGAGGGGAGGAGGGGAGGGCACATCAGCTGCAATTCAACACTTTGTAGGCCACATGTGGCCCATGGACCACCAGTTATTTAGCCCTGAACTAGAAAAAAAAGATACAGCAGTTTTCAGGAGCTTCCCTTTAATGGCAATACCTTTTAGGAGCTTTTTAAGAAGGTAGCTGTGCATTTACTCTTAATTTGTCCTCATAAAGTTAGCTGCAAGCATGCCGTTTCTGCATAAAGAAACCATCTCTAAAGGCTATTTTGACTCTACCTTGCACAAATGAGTTCTTGAGAACAAGGAAGGGAGAAAGTTTCTATAGTACTTTGATGATCTGATTAAGACGTTATCAGACCACCTCTTCCTGATCATACCATATTCTTCATATCTTCAAAAGTGGGATTTGTGGGACATGAAATATTTCTGCAGTATTATGAATGTGACAGCGAACCAATTCATATGAAAATCTTCCCAGTAACAAGCAAAGGATTTCCATAGAAATAAAGAAGACCATGTTTTCATAATCAGATTTAAAATATAGTATCATTCCTCATTCTCACAATTTCAGGCATAATGAGACTGGAGATTAATGGGAACTTTACCTGTGGCTTGTGGAAACAGAATGCTGTTGTTCCAGAGGCACATCTTTTCTAGCAATGTAAATTTTCTTACTTATTTTATTATGCTGTATTGATTTGTCTAATTAGACAAGATATTCTCTCTTCTGTTGGAAGATTCCAAATGAACAACTGTGAGGCACCAAAAGCTGAGAAAATCTGTACAATGTCTTCCTAGCACATACAACAATCCTTTATTTAACCTCGGTTCCTCTTTTGTATTTGATGGGAAGTGTTTTAGTTTGTGTATTGGTATGACACTGAGGGGAAGAAAGGATTCAGTGTTAAAAAATTCTGGTCCTGTGATATATTCAACCAAAACCTCCCTCTTACATTTACAGTATAAACCACTATCAGTCATACTGAATGCAGACTTCATGAAAAGAAAAAAGTGACCCTTCTGTGAAGCTTTCCTAACAAGTCTAGAAAATAATCATTTGCACAAACATTTTTTATACAGAGGGTGTGTCTACATGCGATGCTTTACTGCGCAGTAGACTAATCTACAGGGCAGTAAAGCATCATCATGTAACTGTGCTCATAAATGCTACTACTCAGTATATTAATCTACTGCGCAGTTAACTAGCATCTGTAAATACTAGCTAGCTACCTATAAATGCTAGCTGCCTCATTGGTGGGACAGCTCCCAGCCACCACTGGCTGGGCAGGGATTCCCCACCCAGCCAGGGGCTCTGGGGCTCGCTGCTAGCTGCCCCACCAGCTAACCAGGGCAGGAGGCTGGGAAAGATTCCCCTCCCCTGCAGCTCTTTCCCAGCCCCCTGCCCCAGTTGGCCAATCAGGGCAAGGGGGGTGGGAAAGATCTGTGGGGAGGAGACTCTTTCCTAGTCCCCTGCCCCGATCCACAGACCAGGCACAGGGCTGGGAGGCAGGTGCCCTGGAGGTGGGACAGCTTCCCCCAACTCCCTAGAAGACGAGAGCCTGACTCTGCCCCCTGCCAGCCCAAGGCTGGCACCCAAGAGAGCCTAGAGCTCCTTCTGGCTGCTGTAGAGGGGCACAGTGGGGTGATGTAGCCCTGCCCTGAACTGATCCCTGAAGGAGTATATGTAGACGCCCTGCTG